CTGGGGAGTGAAAAACAAGGTAAACAGGAGTGTCTTAGAATGGGGTGAAATTGGCGGCTCTCCCAGGCTGTTGCAAGGGTTTAATTTAGGAGTGAGAGACTTACCAGGTGGATGGAGGCATACATTGCAGGAGGATTGCACCATAGCTTGGGGAGAGGACACACTATAGGAGTGTGTCACCAATTGGTGGGAAGAGGATGTGCTGTGTCTAACCAGGTAATGGGGACAGTTCACACTGTAGGAATGTCTCACCAGTTGATGGGGGAGAGGACACGATTTACGAGTGGCTCACGAGGTGGTGGGATACGATTTACGAGTGGCTCACGAGGTGGTGGGGGAGAGGACACGGTTTACGAGTGGCTCACGAGGTGGTGGGGGAGAGGACACGGTTTACGAGTGGCTCACCAGGTGGTGGGGGAGAGGACACGGTTTACGAGTGGCTCACCAGGTGGTGGGGGAGAGGACACGGTTTACGAGTGGCTCACCAGGTGGTGGGGGAGAGGACACGGTTTACGAGTGGCTCACCAGGTGGTGGGGGAGAGGACACGATTTACGAGTGGCTCACCAGGTGGTGGGGAGAGGACACGATTTACGAGTGGCTCACCAGGTGGTGGGGAGAGGACACGATTTACGAGTGGTTCACCAGGTGGTGGGGAGAGGACACGATTTAAGAGTGGATCACCAGGTGGTGGGGAGAGGATACGCTGTACAACAGTTCAACTCACCTTCTTTTCCAGTTTTTCCTCCTCGTAGGCCAAAACACTCAAACAATACAAGGTGGGGCCGCTAAGAGAGAAAGAATAAAAGTGTGAGTAAAGAATTAATGTAACATGAAACAGACACCAAATCAAAGTGATCACCATATGTCGGCACCAACCTGCTGACCGGAGACTTAGCTGGTATTGGCTGTTTGGGTTTCGGAGCAGACACCTGCAATAAAAACAGACAGACTGACTGCAGAAATGGCACAAATAATGCATGAGATTGGTACCAGGTTACACATGGGATGATGGGAGATGTAGTTGCACCACTTGGTATTTGTGAAGGGTTTTAAATTCTGGTCATCTATACTGCTATATTGTTGGTTTCCAGACCATTAACATCAAGTCTCAGAATAATCTCAACTAATCTGTGCTGCAGAGAGACAGGAGGTGAGTGTTTGAATGGCTCAAATGAGAGACAGGAGGGAGTAGATGGAGGAGAGTTCTTACTGGAGGCAATGTAAATGGCTCTATAACCAGCCATTTTTCAGTGGTGGTGTTGAGCTGCTGAGATGTGAGGGGGTCCCGGATTTTGACAGCCACCTCCAGCTTTCCACCTGATGGTTTGCGTCCTTCCATCACCTGGGAAAGGAAGAAACAGGAGTGAGGTCACTGCACGGAAAAACAGGCATAAAATATACTAAAACTGGGTGACAGCACTTTACCTCCAGTATCTCCCGGATCTCACAGTTAGACTCTAGAGCATCCAGCTTGAGATGTGATGTCCCCAGCAGGCGATCAGACTTAAACAGACCCCTGGAGAGACGGCACACTTTTACACATATATCACTATTTCACACAGTGAAATCCCATACACCAACACCGTCATGGGAAATCACAACTCTGCACAAACACAGCCTACAGAACAGAAGAGGAAATTATCCACTGAACCAGAAATTGAGGAGATGCGGAAAGAGAACTTTGGACAAAACATTTTCAAATTGGCTCTTTTGGACTAAAAATGTTATATCTCTGACAATCCCCAAGCTTAGTGAGTAAACCCAATGAGCAATGTTGCCAACGTCTATTAGAAAACACCTCACTTAAACACAGGTTTACTGTTTGGCTGTTAAAAACAGGTCAGAGATCTATCACTATCCAACTGAGCCAACTGTGAGATATTGCAGAGAGTAGAGCTGCCACCAAGTGGGGGAGTTAGTGTGTTACAGATGTACTGTGTACTAAAAGGGTCAATCTAAACTTCATAGCTCTACAGCCAAGTGCAGTGATTATTGTGCAAAAATCACACAATCATTCACTTTTTTCAGGGAGCATTTTGACTAAAACAGGGGTTTCTCCTCCTCTTATGGCTGGGATTAATAAAAATAAACCTGGATAAAAATGCATAAGACTACATAGGTCTTGGCTGAATAAAGTCTGGAACTGGCCAGTAAATAGCTTTTTTCATGCATACGTAGCTTCTGGAAGAAACCAATACTGGCAGCGTCTGCTCACCCCTTCAGGATAACTTCAAACTTCATGCCTTTCGCCTGGATTGCCCTCTTCAGACCACGGTGATTGCGATTAATTTGTAGAGTAAATTTCTCTTTGTATACTGCAGAAAAATGCAAAAAAATTTGTTTATTTGTATAATTAAAGGGGAACAGTTTTTGCACAGTATGACAGGTTGTACGTTTTATGGACACTGTATGTTAGGCTGCCTAGCCCAGCCAGAGCATTTAAAAAAAAAAAAATAATTCCTATACCAGGCACAGATGACAAAATGATCCGTCATTACGTTGCAAGATAGAGTAAACCAAAGTCAATTTTTGTACAATAAAAATATTGGCTGAGCATAACCATAAACAAAAATAATTATTTGAACAATAAGGTAAAAGACAGGAGGAAGGGAAAAGGGAGGCATAAACGGAAATGGACGTGGCCTATACGGCGTGGCACATGAGCGCATACAGCATTGTCCAAAACATCACTACATCACTTGCTCAGAAGTACTGCAGGGATAATGATGTTTTATTAATTATCTCTGCTGCTCAATCCAGTAAGATGATGTACCGGGGTGTCGGAATGTAGAACGGTCACCTTCCAAAGAAATAACCGTTCCTCTTTAAATTTTAATTAAAAAAAATGAAGACACTCAGGCTCACTAAGTTTCACGTTTTAGCAGATTATATATGAATTGTAAAATTTAGACAGATTTATATAAAATGTTCCATGACAGAGCTGCCAGACATTGCCCGTTGTCCCCCCAATGTCATACCTGGAGAATTGGTGCCCTTTACAATGTTTGTTTTGTCTTTCTGAGCTTCTTCCTAAAATGTAAAAGTCACAGTTTTGCTACGGTAATTCTTTCAAATTTGAATTCACTTTTTTTCTCCAATGATCGAGGCTGAGGCTGTTTAAATCAATCCGTAAAGTTCAAGGAGTTTTCAAGATAATGATTATGATCACCTTTCTTAACCAATTTGATTTTGACCAGACATTGAGACTTCAAGGGTCCTAATGCAATTGATATTCCCTGCACTGTGCATTAGGAGTGCAATCTACAAGTACAAATATTTCCCACCAACAGGGAAACAACAGGCTTACAAGAGAAGCAGGGAATGATGAGCACAAGTAACTAGCAAGTGACAGAAACTAAAGGATCTATGGTTCTCAGTGTGTCACCCAACAACAAAATGTTAAACAGCAACATATCACCCTGGTAGCCTCTTCGTATCAGACTATACACCCTAGTGACAAAGCACACATGGCTGTTATAAATGTCCTGAACACAGTGACACAAACACAATACCATTCCCTTCTTACCAGACTGGGATAGCCAAACTCAAACCGCACAAATGTGTCCATGTCTTGGTGAGATGTTCCTTAAAAACACAAACAGACATGTGATAAAAGATGTGAAGACAATCAGACAGGGAAACTGACATTTAGATGGATAGATTGACCAACCTGCAGGAATCGGCAAATTGACGGCTCTGGTAACGTACAGGACAAGATCAGAGTTACTAAGCTCTGGGAAGATCCTGTGGGAACAGAGGCTGTTAGAAGGACTTGTCTTCTTATACCAAGAGTGGGGGGTTAGAATGGTTTGGATCTCCTTATACTAAGACTGGGAGTTAGGCTAGCTTGGGTCTCCTTATACAGAGAGTGAGGGTTAGAATGCTTTGAGTCTCCTTATAGAAACATTGAATGTGATGGCAGATAAGAACCATTCGGCCCATCTAGTCTGCCCAATTTTCTAAAAATTTTCATTAGTCCCTGGCCTTATCTTATAGCTAGGATAGCCTTATGCCTATCCCACTCATGCTTAAACTCCCTGTGTTAACCTCTACCACTTCAGCTGGAAGGATATTCCATGCATCCACTACCCTCTCAGTAAAGTAATACTTTCTGATATTTTTAAACCTTTGCCCCTCTAATTTAGGACTATGTCCTCTTGTTTTGGTAGTTTCTCTTCTTTTAAATATAGTCTCTTCCTTTACTGTGTTGATTCCCTTTATGTATTTAAATGTTTCTATCATATCCCCCCTGTCTCGTCTTTCCTCCAAGCTATACATGTTAAGATCCTTTAACCTTTCCTTGTAAGTTTTACCCTGCAATCCATGAACCAGCTTAGCAGCCCTTCTCTGAACTCTCTCCAAAGTATCAATATCCTTCTGGAGATACGGCCTCCAGTACTGCGTACAGAGATAGAGGCTGAGGGTTAGAATGGTTTGGGTCTCATTATACAGAGTGAGGGTTAGAATGGTTTGAGTTGGGGATCGACCGATATTCGGTATTTTCAACAAGATCGGTATCGGCCAATTCAGATACCGATATTGCCGATAATACCTCCTAGGACCGCCAGGCTCAGTACAAGCCCGGCGGTCCTGGGGGGGGGAGGGGTTGCAGCAAGCATTTACTCACCTCCCAGCAGCTCCTCCAGTGTAAGTCTTGCGAGACCCGCGGCCATGAGAGCCTTGCCACGGGTTACCATGGCAACGCTCCGCGCGGCACGCTGGCCGCGATACTTACACTGGGGAGTTGGAGGAGCTGCTGGGAGGTGGATAAATGCTTGCTGCCGGCCCCCCGACAGCTCAGCCAATGCCACTGGACCACCAGGTACTGTTATATCCCCCCTCCCTGACAAGGCAACAAGCAGGGAGGGGGGACAACAAAAATAAATAATTAAAATAATAATAATAATAATAATAATAATTTAATAAAAAATGCCCCCTCACACACACACTCCATTATATACACATACTAAACAAACACACTGTGTATATAATGCAGTGTGTTTGTGTAGTGTGTGTATATAATGCAGTGTGTTTATATAATGCACACTACACAAACACACTGCATTATATACACACACTATACAAACACACTGCATTATATATATACACACACTATACAAACACACTGCATTATATACACACACACACTATACAAACACACTGCATTATATACACACACACACTATACAAACACACTGCATTATATACACACACACACTATACAAACACACTGCATTATATACACACACACACACTATACAAACACACTGCATTATATACACACACTATACAAACACACTGCATTATATACACACACTATACAAACACACACTATACAAACACACTGCATTATATACACACACTATACAAACACACTGCATTATATACACACACTATACAAACACTGCATTATATACACACACTATACAAACACACTGCATTATATACACACACTATACAAACACACTGCATTATATACACACACTACACAAACACACTGCATTATATACACACACACTACACAAACACACTGCATTATATACACAGTGTGTTTGTATAGTGTGTGTATATAATGCAGTGTGTTTGTGTAGTGTGCATTATATAAACACACTGCATTATATACACACTATACAAACACACTGCATTATATACACACACTACACAAACACACTGCATTATATACACAGTGTGTTTGTATAGTGTTTGTATATAATGCAGTGTGTTTGTGTAGTGTGTGTATATAATGCAGTGTGTTTGTATAGTGTGTGTATATAATGCAGTGTGTTTGTATAGTGTGTGTATATAATGCAGTGTGTTTGTATAGTGTGTGTATATAATGCAGTGTGTTTGTGTAGTGTGCATTGTAACTGACCGTTTTGCCCACAAGCGGTTAAAAACCGTTTAGGCGATATTCCCCTTTCTCAGCTGCACAGACAGCTACTGCAAGCACCAATCTCCCGAACTGCAAACCCACGAATTCACCAACTCCCGAACTGCAATCAAGGGAATACTCAAAACTCCCAAACTGCATACCCAGTAGCACTCCAAACTCCCGAACTGGAGACACACGAATAGCTGTTAGCAGACGAACAGGAAAAGCCCCCAAGCGGCTTACACTCCTGGCAATCAGTCTCTAACAGCATACAGTAAATCCCCCCCAAAGACGAGACGACACTTCGTTTTGAGGGTCAAGCTGAATCTGGTTTACTGGGGCTAACTGCCCGGCTTTTATGCAGGTCTCCCACCTGGTGGACACTCCCCTAGGGGACCAGATGGGAGACTGAGACACAGAGGGTACAAGAACCAATCAAAGACTTACACATTTCAACCATCCCACAATGCATTACAATCCCTCCTCTCTGTCCTGGAGATAATTGGGAAGTAATCCAATTATCTCCAAGGACAGAGGCAAAACTCCATTAACCACATGGTATTAAAAAGACAGTAAAAGACATAAAATTACATACAGTTACATTTACTACATAAAACATAGACATTCTACATATCCCCAGATAGCTTAGATCTGAGCGCACATTACTACCGAATGGTGCTCAGATCACATACATACATTTCAATCGCCATGGAGCCAAAGTCTTTCACATAGTCTTTCGTTACACGAACAGGTCCCATGGCTTAGCTATCTGGGGTGATGCTGTTCACCCGGTTAAATTACCGAATGAACAGGTATTCGGTTCCGCTACCGAATGGGAAGGTAATGAGGCTGGCGGCTCAGCGGTTAACCGCAGCTTCTGGGCGGTCAATTGACGGCACACTCCAGTTCCCAGGTGGTCCATCGTTCAGTAGTTTGTTCGGTAGATTGAATCTACCGAACACCCCGGCAGAAAGGCACGAATAAACCTTTCAGTAGGGGAAATAACAGAGCTGAACTGCAGGGCCATAGTCTAAAGGGAGCAGGCGAGCAACCAGGCTTCTCCAGTGCATAGTGGCGAGGTTGGTTCCGCCACATGCATTATATAAACACCATACACAAACACACTGCAAACACACTGCATTATATAAAACACACTACACACACACACACACAGCATTATGGCAGTAAGGCAGTGGCTGAGTGACAGGCAGAGGGTTGTAGTTAATGGAATATATTCGAAGCTTGGACTTGTCACCAGTGGGGTACCTCAGGGATCTGTACTTGGACCCATTCTCTTTAATATTTTTATTAGTGATATTGCAGAAGGTCTTGATGGTAAGGTATGTATTTTTGCTGATGATACAAAGATATGTAACAGGGTTGATGTTCCAGGAGGGATAAGCCAAATGGCAAATGATTTAGGTAAACTGGAAAAATGGTCAGAATTGTGGCAACTGACATTTAATGTGGATAAGTGCAAGATAATGCATCTTGGACGAAAAAACCCAAGGGCAGAGTACAGAATATTTGATAGAGTCCTAACCTCAACAATTGAGGAAAGGGATTTAGGGGTGATTATTTCTGATGACTTAAAGGTAGGCAGACAATGTAATAGAGCAGCAGGAAATACTAGCAGAATGCTTGGTTGTATAGGAGAGGTATTAGCAGTAGAAAGAGGGAAGTGCTCATGCCATTGTACAGAACACTGGTGAGACCTCACTTGGAGTATTGTACACAGTACTGGAGACCGTATCTTCAGAAGGATATTGATACCTTAGAGAGGGTTCAGAGAAGGGCTACTAAACTGGTTCATGGATTACAGGATAAAACCTACCAGGAAAGGTTAAAGGATCTTAACATGTATAGCTTGGAGGAAAGACGAGACAGGGGGGATATGATAGAAACATTTTAAATACATAAAGGGAATCAACACAGTAAAGGGGGAGACTATATTTAAAAGAAGAGAAACTACCACAACAAGAGGACATAGTCTTAAATTAGAGGGACAAAGGTTTAAAAATAATATCAGGAAGTATTACTTTACTGAGAGGGTAGTGGATGCATGGAATAGCCTTCCAGCTGAAGTGGTAGAGGTTACCACAGTAAAGGAGTTTAAGCATGCGTGGGATAGGCATAAGGCTATCCTAACTATAAGATAAGGCTAGGGACTAATGAAAGTATTTAGAAAATTGGGCAGACTAGATGGGCCGAATGGTTCTTATCTGCCGTCACATTCTATGTTTCTATTATATAAACACACTATGCAAACACACTGCATTATATAAACACACTACACAAACACTCTGCATTATATACACACACACACTACACAAACACATTGTGTATATAATGCAGTGTGTTTGTGTAGTGTGTGTATATAATGCAGTGTGTTTGTGTAGTGTGTGTATATAATGCAGTGTGTTTGTGTAGTGTGTTTATTTAATGCACACTACACAAACACACACTATACAAACACACACACTCTGCATTATATAAACACAGTACATTCACAATACGCACACTACACAAATACATACACACACTCTGCATTCATTATATACACACACACTACACAAACACACACACTTTGCATTTAGTATATACAGCATTCACTTTACACACACACTGCATTCACTTTACGCACACTACCCACACACTACACAAACACTCTGGCTTTCATTATATACACACTAGACAAATACACACTGCATCCACTACACACTAGACAAACACACACTGCATCCACAACACACTAGACAAACACACACTGCATCCACAACACACACTACACAAACACACACTGCATCCACAAAACACACTACACAAAAAAAACACTGCATCCACTACACACACACACTACACAAACACACACTGCATCCACTACACACACACACACTACACAAACACACACAGCTCCCCTGTCTAAACACACTGCATCCACTACATGTGGCATGTATGCTTTGTGCATTTAGCTTTAGAAATAGTTTTTATTTTCCAAAATGGTAAATGTACAGAATATCGGCAAATTATATCGGCTATCGGCCTGAAAGTTCACAGTATATCTGTATCGGCTCTAAAAAAAATCAATATCGGTCGATCCCTAGTTTGAGTGTCCTTATACAGAGAGCAAGGGTTAGAATGGTTTGAGTCTCCTTATACTGAGAGTCAGGTTTAGAATGGTTTGGGTCTCATTATACAGAGAGTGAGGTTTAGAATGGTTTGAGTCTCCTTATACAGAGCGAGGGTTAGAATGGTTTGGGTCTCATTATACAGAGAGTGAGGTTAGAATGGTTTGGGTCTCATTATACAGAGAGTGAGGTTAGAATGGTTTGGGTCTCATTATACAGAGTGAGTGTTAGAATGGTTTGGGTCTCATTATACAGAGAGCGAGGGTTAGAATGGTTTGGGTCTCATTATACAGAGTGAGGGTTAGAATGGTTTGGATCTCATTATACAGAGTGAGGGTTAGAATGGTTTGGATCTCATTATACAGAGAGCGAGGGTTGGAATGGTTTGGGTCTCATTATACAGAGTGAGGGTTAGAATGGTTTGGGTCTCACTATACAGAGTGAGGGTTAGAATGGTTTGGGTCTCATTATACAGAGAGCGAGGGTTGGAAATGGTTTCGGTATATTCATACCGAGAATGGGTATTAGAATGACTTGGGTCTCGGTAATGAGAGAACACTCACTTGACAACACTGACGGTCCTCTCTTCGTAGTGATAGCGAGGCACAGGGAGACCTCTGGTGTGAGCCTGCTTTATCAGATCAATATACTTCATGCACTCCTCTGCCAGTTTTTCATACCTAGCAAGAAAGGAGTGAGAACCATTAGTAAATCAAAAATGATATAAGACCCCCAGAGGGAGAGAAGAAACACGGAAAACAGAGGGCAACGAGGGAGCGTAAGGGAAATGGGTTAGAAAAAAAAGGTAAAGAGTGCAATGAGAGTCCATGCAGGAGAAGGTACCAGGATTTACAGATCAGGAGGACACATGTTCACAGAATAGCTTTGTAGGTTGTTTATGCAGAGATACGAATTCAAAGCTACAACAAAAAACCAGAGTTATGGGCTGTGTGATAGCATTTCCACTATTGATTATGTATATTAATCTCCCTGCTCTATCACTGACAGGGCAATGAGCTCTGATTTAAAGTCCTATCTTCCCAGTTTGGGAAATAGGTCAGTCAAACATAATACTGTATAGATGTTAC